CCAGCCTGAACCATTGATATAAGGCAGGATGGATCCCCCACACCATGACACCACCACCACCACCAGCCTGAACTATTGATACAAGGCAGGATGGATCCACCACACCATGACACCACCAGCCTTAACCATTGATACAAGGCAGGATGGATCCACCATGACACCACCAGCCTGAACCATTGATACAAGGCAGGATGGATCCACCACACCATGACACCACCAGCCTGAACCACTTATACAAGGCAGGATGGATCCACCACACCATGACACCATCACCAGCCTGAACCATTGATACAAGGCAGGATGGATCCATGCTTTCATGTTGGTTACGCCAAATTCTGACCTTACCATCTAAATGTTGCAGCAATCAGTCTGCCCATTCTCCTCTGAACTCTGACCTCAACATGGAATTTTCCTCCACACAACTGCCACTTACTGGATATTTTCTCTTTTTTGGACCATTCTCTGTAAACCCTAGAGATGGTTTTGCAGGAAAATCCCAATAGATCAGCAGTTTTTGAAATACTTAGACCAGCCCATCTGGCACCAACAACCAAGCCACATTCAAAATCACTTAAATCCCCTTTCTTCCCCATTCTGATGCTCGGAATGAACTTCAGCAAGTCGCCTTCACCATGTCTATATGTCTACATGCATTGAGTTGCTGCCGTGTGAATGGCTGATTAGAAATTTGTGTTACCGAGCAATTGAACAGGTGGACGTAATAAAGTGGCCGGTGAGTGTACATTAACTATGGAATCATTTCTTATATTTTACAATTATCTTGGCTTACATACAGCAGAACCCGAATCTGATTCATTTCAGCTTAAAGAAAGGTTTTTGTTCGGTAACTTTAGAGTGACACGTGTTTCTTCATCCAGCGGTAATAGGACCACTTTGACCAAGGGATAGACATTGGCTAGTAGATCTCTGTGGTTGCCCCTGTTCTCGCTGATTCAAAAATGTCCTGCCGCTGGTCAATTTCCATCAAGTTCTTGTTAGGAATGAAGAGACTGCAGATGATACATCAGAATAAAGTCTGTCAGCTGCAGAATATCTATAATGAGGGAGAATTGACCGAAATGTATTAGAGACACAAAGTACCGGCTGTGATATCACTCCAAGATTTAGGAGGCCTCAGATGCAGGGTAACTGACCAGCAGAAGGACCATTTAATGAGCAAGGCCCCCCTGTCAATGCTGTCCAAGCCCTTCTTCCAGGAACATAGGACTCCTTGTTATGTGTGAACAAAGCTTTATTTAACATATTTATGAGAACAATACAATAAGGACATTGTTCTGGATTTTACATTGAAGGTACAGGATTATAAGACACGTGAATCAGCATAGATGATGAGATACATCCCAGATTGGGAGGACACAGAATACATTATATATGAAATGACCAATAAGAGATATAAATGTACATTTACTTCAGAAACCAAACCGTTACCCATCTCTTGTCTGCAGTGTTAGCATGCAATGACATACCCCCCAACTTTTGGAGATGGGAACGAGGGACACCCATAAGTATGTAGACATAGGACACACCCCCTGCCAAACCCACAAGTACTATTCGTTTTTTACTGGATTTTGAAGTTTACAAACGCAACAATTTAGAAATGGGATGAAAGGTTTAGCACTGTGAAACACCTTTTGTAAGATACATAGTGCATTCTATATACAGCTCTACAGATCAGAACAAAATGGGGGACAAATGAGAAGGGACAAGAGGGACTTTGCTCCAAATCAAGGGCAGTCCCTCGAAATCAGGGACAATCCCTCAAAATCAGAGAAAGTTGGGAGGTGTGTACAATGACACCTTTCTCTGGTTTTTACCAATGTCTAAGAATGTCCAAAACTTTATCCTGAAAATTGAAGGAATTTGGAAAATACCGTCATATCACCAGTTGTACAAAGAAGAAGAACCAATGGGGTTTACTTACTAAATCTGGATCACTCAGAATCTCGTGCACTTCTGCAAGGAGACCAATCAGCTTACCGCTTTATTGCTAAAGCTTCATTGAACAAGCTGAGGTTAGAAACTGATTGGCTGCCATGCACAGATGAATGAGATTCGGAGAGAACCAGCTTTAGTAAATAAACCCCAATGTGTTGTTACCCGCTTTCCTGCCGCCCTATAGCAGATATACTGCTACAGGGTGACAGGGGTGCACAAAAAAAAAAAATATATATATATATATATACACGTGATTTTGAATTTCCGAGTAGGGGGTGTGCGCCCTACCAACCCCGCTATTCACGGCTTTGGCTGTCAGTCACCGGGTCCCAGCTGATGATTACTCACCGGCACCCGGAGAGCCAGGAGTATTACTGATGGAGGGAGAGAACTGTATGGAAACAATACTGTTCTCTCACGTCAGCTCCTGTACACTGCTTTATATGGCTATGCACAGCACAGCCATACAAAGCAGTGTGCTTACAGTCAAGCACACAACCAGCACACAGTTAACCCTTTGATCGCCCCTCACATTAACCCCTTCCAGCCCAGTGCCATTAGTACAGTGTCAGTGCTTTTTATTAGCACTGATCACTGTATTGTTGCCACTGGGGATGTCAGTGACACCAAATCAGTTCCCCCCAGTGTCAGAATGCCCGCTGCAGTCCCACAGTCCTACTATAAGTCGCCACCATTACTAGTAAAAATAAAAAATAAAATAAAAATCCCAATATATTTACAGCACCGCCATTTGTAAATGCTATAACTTTCATGTAAACCAATTAATTTACATGTACTGGGATTTTTTTTTTTTTTTTTTTTGCAAACACACAGAGCAGAATATATTTTGGCCTAAATGTATGATGAAATTTGATTTTTAAAATTTTTTTACTGGAAACATTTTATAGCAAAAAGTCAAAGATATTGTTATTTTTTTATCAAACTTGTCAGCCTTTTTTTTTATAGTGCAAGAAATAAAAACCACACAAGCAATCAAGTACCACCAAAAGAAGGCTCAATTTATGGGGGAAAAAAAAACATGTAAATTTCATGTTGTTGCTGCGTTGTATGACTGTGCAATTGTCAGTTAAAGTAACCCAGCGCCGTGATGCAAAAAAAATGGCCTGGTCAGGAAGGGGGGGGGGGGGTATCCTCAGGAGGGGGGGGGGTGTATCCTCAGGAGGGCGAGGGGTTAATATTAAAATTAGAAACATTTCTGTACACAGCCCTCTAAATCCTGGGACTGTCCCTGCAATCCAGACACACCTGGCAGTTATGAAAGTGTTCATCAATAATTGTATTTAATATATTTAAAAGGCCATGTCATGAAAGAATCATTGCTAAACCATTGCTAAATTCTTCTTTTAAGAATGCTAGTTCCCTGGCTGTCATGTTGAGGATTCAATAGTGTTCGACCCAGAACAGGAATAAAGATAAGAAATTCTGGCACTTTTCTTACGCATGCTTGTCCCAGGTCAGGGACCGAAACGTATGTAAGTTGGGCATAGCCAAGATTAGTAAATCTTTGGAAGGAGGCCTGCAATGGCAGCCCTCATACTTCTCCCAGGAGTCACCACTGCCTCCAAACATTGGCAGAATTATGAACCAATTCCACCACTCATCCCTGTGACATCATCAGACTCTGGGTGGAGTTCTCACATCTACCAATTTCTCTCCACATATCTTTATACAACCTTCCCACACACATACCCCAGCATGGAGGGGCTCAGTGAAGGTGGTGGTGAAGGTGTGGAGGTGTCGGATCGAGTCACACAGATGATAAAAGGAGATCTGCCCGGCCTCATAATCCAGATATATCCTGATTCTTTTCATGGAGATATTGCGAGAAATGAGGTTGGGCCGGGCCGAGGGATAGGCAGAAGATGTGGTCGCCTTGAACATTTCAGAAGGACGTGAAAGGGCAAAAGCCTGAAACACATGCTGCTGAGGCTGCTCACAGCTCACAGGGATTTCCCACTTTTTTCTTTTCACCTTCGATTTTAAAGGATTATTTATCAGCACTGGTAAGCAGTGCTCATTGCTGCAATGTATCACCCCATACTTTTTACCACACTGGTACAAACCCCAGGACTTCTCATTATCTCCAATTAAGGACTTCATTCCTCCCCTCTCTATACTGGGGTAACACATCCCAACTCTCCATTGATCTGATCCCCCGACATCCACTTCCCAGTAAATTTGCCCCGAGGAGAAACTCTGACTGCTCAACACCTGAGGACACTGAAATCTCTCCGGTGTCACTGGGTGATTCTGGCTTTTATTTAAGATGGATACTGTTTTCCTGTCATCTGATATATGTAGATAATTATTAGCTGTGTTTACATCTAGAGATATGTATTTAGTGCCCTGTACATAGAAGGATACATTTACCCCTGTTATTATATCAGATAATGTGTGTGATATCCCCACCACATCCAGCCCCCCTCCATCATGGAGGAGTTCCTCATGTCTCTCTCTGTCCTCATCTCCATCCTCAGTATCACACAAGTCACCTGTGTCTGATTCCTGTAGGACAGTCAGTGGATTTGTCATGTTACACATCTCCTCAATGTCACGTATCTTCCTGGACAGCTCCTCCTTCTTTATTTCCAGATCCTGGATGAAAATGGAGACCTGCTCTGCCCTCCCAGAGATTTCCCTCAAGAATCTCTTCTCCTGGTCTTCCAGATGTTTCCTAAGATCTCTAAACAGAGCAGTGGCACCAGCTGCTTCTTCTTCTGCTTTCCTCCTGTGTTCCTGCAGACTCTGGACTCTTTCCTCCATCTCCTCTCTCTTTGTCAGAAGTTTCTGCAGAACATTCCTCAGTGTCTTCTTCTTCTTCTCAGAAGCCTTATACAGCACCTCCACCTTGTGTCCTCGATGTTCTCCAGACAAATGGCAAGATGCACAGATACAGCTGTCATCACTAACGCAGTAATATTTTAACAGTTTGTTGTGAGTGGAGCATTTCCAGAACTGGATAGAAGAGGTGAGGTCAGATAAGACATGTTCTGGTGCCTTGTTGTGGACTCTCAGGTGTTCCTCACACAAATAGGATTTACAGTGCAGACAGGATCTAACAGCAGGTACAGGAGAGTCCACACACTGAGTACAGAAGACCCCGGACTCCTGGCCTGGCTGAGCAGACAGGAAATTCTCTGCTATGTTAAGTAGTGGTATGTTCCTCTGCAGTACAGAACGATCCAGAAATTCCTCTCTGCATTCAGGACAGGAATATCCTCCAGACCCCCCCAGTGTATCCAGTACATGATGATTACAGATCCGGCAGAATTTGTGTCCACATTTCATATAAATGTTCAGACAGACGGAACATTTGAGCTCAGCTCTCAGATCAGACGCCATCACTGACCGCAGAAGAGAAATGAAATGACAGTGAAATGCAGATGAACTGGTTACATGTTTTTCTGCACAGGGTGAAGCTGAATTCATCTCTCAGATGAATTCTTTAACTCCTTGCCCTAAGGAAGATTTACCCACCCCCCCCTTCCTGGCAAGGCCATTTGTTTTGCGATACGGCGCTGGGTTATTTTGACTATTGCGCAGTCATGCATTGCTGCACCCAAATAACATTTCTGTAATTTTTCCCCCACAAATAGATCTTTCTTTTGGTGGTATTTGATCACCACTGAGTTTTTTTTTTCTTAATTTTTTGCCCTCTTTAAAAAAAATGACAATTAAAAAAAAACTATGTTTACATTTCTGCAATAAAACATATCCAACAAAAAAATACAAAAAAACACATTTCTTCATACATTTAGGCCAATATGTCTTCTGCTACATATTTTTGGTAAAAAAATCTTAATAAGCGTATGTCGATTGGTTTGTGCAAAAGTTACAAAGTCTACAAACTATGGTATAAATAATGGGATTTTTGTTTATTTTATATTAGTAATGGCGGCGTTCAGCAACTTATAGCGGGACTGCAATAATGCGGCGGACAATCTGACACTAACTGACACTTTGTGGGACCAAGTGACACTAATACAGTGATTAGTGTTAACAAATACACACTGTCTGTCAGGAATGGACTCGCCAATAGTGGTGGGACTCACCTGCCTTGTGGGTTGCAGTACCAGGACTGGCCAGCGGGTGCTCTCAGCAACCATAGGCTCACTCCTGCAGTCAGCCAAAAACACCTGAGGCTGATTGCAGGAGGGGCATATAAGGAATGGCCAGACTTGCAATCAGGGCCTTGGTGTATGTTTCCCAAGAGCCCCTGTACCTGCATCCTGTCTGCTTCTTGTCCTGCTTGATCCCTGACTCTGATTGAACTCCGCCTGTCCTGACCTATGCTATTCCTGACCACTCTCCAGTCTGCTCCTTTGTACCTTGCCTGCCCGTTTGCTACCGACCCGGCCTGCCCGACTACGCTTAGTATTGTTCTTTTGTTATCTGTTGGGGGTTTTGGTTTGGTTTGTTTGCACTGTGTTTATGTTTAGTCTTGCACTGCGTTTATGTATTGTTTAGTCTTAAACAAATTATATTGTTTATACTATATCTGAAGCCTGCATTTCCCTGTGTCAGTCCACACACCTCTGGTCATACCCGGAGCCCTGACATTACACCAAGGCCAATCCTGACCAGAAGTGGCTGCACAGGGAAGCCATCTTGGCTTATTGTTGCTGGGAAGGATGGATCTTGATGAGGTTGTGTATTTGTCTCTGCTAGTGTTTGATGACAGAGAATATGCTTATCAGACTCTGAAGGAGTATCCCCGGGATGAACTGCTAGAATGTATACGGATCGCTCATGTTCTAGTAGATCAGGGCACAGTGTTCTCTGAGGTGCAGCCATTGATTCAGGATTGTGCAGAGTTGGTTTCATCTGGTACCCCCGAAAGCAGGGATGAATGTTTGCTGCCATTTAGTGCCGACCAGGTAGAGTCCCTGGTGTGGTTATTAGAGGATGATGTGGGTTACTTTCTGGAGCGTTATTCCACATGTTCACCACAGACACTGCAAGATTGTATAAACGCAGTGCAGTCATTGACCAGACAGGCTTTGTGTAAGCTGAGCTTTGTTCAACCCATACTGCAGACATGGACAGACTTGTTGCACCCAGCCTCAGTCAGCTTGCAACGTCATACCTCTGCTCAAGGCACTCTTCCTACATCCCCGACAGCACCCCCAGTGACGGCCCAGTATACTCTGCTAACTACCACATATCAGTCCCCTGCTCCCACTTGCTGCACCTATCCTTTCTTTAACCCTCTAAAGAAGTCCTCTGTAGCAACTGCTCCCTCCTTTGTTCCATCCCCCAGCTCTTCTCTGCCTACAGCTGCTCTATCCACTTACAAACCTGCGCTTACTTCCTGTGCTCCAGTAAATAAAACCAGGAAAAAGTGAAAATTCTTTCCAACCAGTACCATCCTGCCAGTATCCAAACCGGTCAGCCTGCCTTCTGAGAACCCACCTTCCGTGGTTCAGCCTGGTGCCCCTGCACCCGCAATTCAGCCTGATACCCTGATGCCTGATGACCCAGTGTACGCTACCCAGCCTGATGGTTCTACCCAGCCTGATGGTTCTACCCAGCCTGATGTTCCTACCCAGCCTGTTGAACTGATCGAGCCAGATGTCCTGTTGCCAGATGACCCGGTGCCCGCTGTCAAGCCAGATGACCCGGTACCCGCTGTCGAGCCAGACGATCCAATGCCTGATGACCCAGTGCCCGCTGTCGAACCAGATGACCTGGTACCCGCTGTCAAGCTTAAAGACCCGATGCCCACTGTTTTGCCAGATGACTCGGTGCCCGCTGTCTTGCCAGATGACTCGGTGCCCGCTGTCTTGCCAGATGACTCGGTGCCCGCTGTTTTGCCAGATGACTCGGTGCCCGCTGTCGAACCAGATGACCTGGTACCCGCTGTCAAGCTTAAAGACCCGATGCCCACTGTTTTGCCAGATGACTCGGTGCCCGCTGTCTTGCCAGATGACTCGGTGCCCGCTGTCTTGCCAGATGACTCGGTGCCCGCTGTTTTGCCAGATGACTCGGTGCCCGCTGTCATGCCAGATTACTCGGTGCCCGCTGTCTTGCCAGATGACTCAGTGCCCGCTGTCTTGCCAGATGACTCGGTGCCCGCTGTCTTGCTTGACGACCCGATGCCCGCTGTCTTGCCAGATGACCCGGTGCCCGCTGTTTTGCCAGATGACTCGGTGCCCGCTGTCTTGCCAGATTACTCGGTGCCCGCTGTCTTGCCAGATGACTCGGTGCCCGCTGTCTTGCTTGACGACCCGATGCCCGCTGTTTTGCCAGATGACTCGGTGCCCGCTGTCTTGCCAGATGACTTGGTGCCCGCTGTCTTGCCAGATGACTCGGTGCCCGCTGTCTTGCTTGACGACCCGATGCCCGCTGTCTTGCCAGATGACCCGGTGCCCGCTGTTTTGCCAGATGACTCGGTGCCTGCTGTCTTGCCAGATGACTCGGTGCCCTCTGTCTTGCTTGACGACCCGATGCCCGCTGTTTTGCCAGATGACTCGGTGCCCGCTGTCTTGCCAGATGACTCGGTGCCCGCTGTCTTGCCAGATGACTCGGTGCCCGCTGTCTTGCTTGACGACCCGATGCCCGCTGTCTTGCCAGATGACTCGGTGCCCGCTGTCTTGCCAGGTGACTCGGTGCCCGCTGTCGAGCTTGACGACCCGATGCCCGCTGTCTTGCCAGATGACTCGAGGCCCGCTGTCTTGCCAGATGACTCGGTGCCCGCTGTCTTGCCAGATGACTCGGTGCCTGCTGTCGCACTTATAGACCCGATGCCCGCTGTTTTGCTAGAAAAAACCTGTCTATCCTACTCTCACTTCTGCCTCTCCTAAATGTGAACCCCGTGCTGTCCGGGCTGCACTTAACCAAGGCGTCCACTAGACCTGCTTCCCTGACTATCGCATTTAAAAAAACGCTATCATATCCCAACCTGTCCTTGAAGCCTTTCCTGTCCTTAGGCCTAATGATGGTGTTGAAATCACCTCCAAAGACAACCTGTCGGGATGTAAAAAGAAAGGGTTTAATCTTTTTAAAAAGGCACTTCCTATCCCACTTAGTCTGAGGCCCATAGACATTAATCAGCCTCAACTCGTGCCCCTTCAAAAGGACGTCAAGGACCATGCATCTTCCGATCTCCACCTCAATAACCCGCCGGCAAGTTACCATGCCGGTAAAAAGAACCGCAACTCCGCTGTAAGGCTCGGCCGCAAGAGACCAGTAGGAGGGGCCACACCTCCACTCCCTTTTTTCTAGATGTATGTCAGCAAGGCTGCCCAGCCTGGTCTCCTGCAAAAATAAAACATCAGCACCAATATCACTGAGCAAAAATAAGGCCGTACTTCTAGCGGTTACAGATTTTACGCTGGCAACATTAATCGTTGCCACCTTTAACGGAGCGGGAACAGCCATTAAGGTAATTGAGAAAGGTGTTTCTTAACCTTCTTCTTAACTTTTTTTGGAGAGTCCCCAGGTCTCTTTTGGATCCCTCCTGCCTCCTCATCCTCCATCGGGGAAGGAGAGCCAACCGACTCCTCCTCCTCCCCTGACAGAGCCCCAAACATGTTGCCCAAGGTCGGTCCCTGCACCTCCAGAGAAGAAACCGACCCTGCCGGAGAAAGCACAGACTTGTTGCGTCTCCCTCCTACCACCGACCACCCTTCCTCCCCCTGAGCCCCATCCTGCCCGCCCTGAATCGGACCCTGGGACCCCTGAGGTTTCCTGATGGACACTTTACTCTGCCGTAGCGGAAGAAGAACTGGGGGAGCTGGCACAGAGGAACCTCCAGAGTTTAAATCCACCACCCCAGCCCCTTTGGCTGCCTCTGCCACCTTGCCCCCCTTCCTCTGAGGAAAGACTGGAGCAACCGGGAAGCCCACCTGAGACTCAACAGGAACAGACTTAATAGGAGGGGGCTTAACCAGGGGAACGGGGACAGTGGGGCCAAACCGGCCCTCCTCCACCCTCACAGCAGATGCTGCTGATGCCAAGGCGACTTTCTCTGCCGCCACCTCCGCCTCCTCAGCTTCCATTCTATCCAATTCCGCTGCCAACTCCCTATCAGTGAGGTTGTGGAGGGCCTCAGGACACTGGCTGTATGAGTGTCCAACCACACCACATAGGTTACATCTGATAATGTTGCAGTCCCTAGCCAGGTGCCCAATCTCCTGGCAAAGGGAGCAACGAATCACAGGGCATGTGGCAGCGGAATGACCCTTGCCGCCGCACCGGTGACATACCCGTGGCTGACCGGCATAAAAGATGATCAGCCGGTCCCTCCCTAGGAAAGCTGATGATGGAATGTGCTGTAATACATTACCCTCCACCCTTAGGAGGATGGTAGTTGTCCACCCACCTGTCCATATCCCCCCCTCTCATCCACTATTTTACTCAGGGCCCCCATCACCTGCCCATATCTTCCCAGCCACACCACAATATCAGACGCTGGAATGGACTCGTTCCTCAAGTTACCTGCCCGGGACTGGATGGGCCTAGCCTGCTCATGCCCACCCCTTACTACCGCCGAATAACTTAAGGCGGGCGCTGCTGGTGTAGGGGCACCCACTGTAGGAGGGCCGGAAACAGATGGGACCACCGTGGGGGCAACCTGATCCTGAGGGGGTGGACCTGGGGGAACGGAACCAGGGAGCACCTGAGCCTGAGGGCCCGAGCCCTGTGGGCGGGACCCTTGCTGAGCAACAACCGGGGGAACCTGGGCCAAAAGACTAGGCTTAGCAGACGGGGGATTCTGCGGGACTAGGCCAGCAGACACTAGATCTAACGGGACCTCCAGAGCAGGGACCCCACTAAGAGCAAACTCAGCCCCCGACGGGGTGGAATCAGCAGGAACAGAACCCTTAGAAACACTAGGAGCTACATCTACCACCCCCTGGGCTTCTGCTGAAGCCTGCTTGGCAGACACAGCCGCTACCATATTACCATCCACCATGACCCCGCCTCCTCCCAGCATCACAGAGTCCCGTTGGGTGTCTCCAGTCAGAAGGTTGCTTTTCAGTGAGCTCGGGATTCTTTGCAGTTTAACAAAGACTGCCCTCTCTTACACCACTAGCTGTGCAGGCTTGTGGGGCACCATGTCATCTTCTTCATCAACAGATGATTCTTCAGAGGTGAACCGGAAGAGGTCTCCACGTAACCCAGATTCCACTTCCTGTACAAAGTGCAGTTCTCCTGCTGACTCTGCCTCCTCCACACGAGAGCCCCAATCCTCGCTCTGCTGCCCAGGAGGGAGGGAATCCGACCCATCCACGTTCTCTGCATCTTCCATAACTATCGGCGCCACTTTCTGGTCTTCAGCAGTGGGCTCAACCGGCCTCTGCTCCTTCTCTCCCTCTGCCATCGGTGCATCAGACAATTCCTCCACCGAGGATCCCACGCCCATCGTGCCTCTTGCTGCCGCCACACGCCTACTCCTGGCGGTCTTAAAACGGCTATCGTTGGAGTATTTCTCCTGCAACACACCGCTTTTCTTCTTTAGAGCTGCAACATACTTCCCTTGCAGGGATACCCTTTGCTCAAGGGCCTCCAAACCCGGCTTCATACTCTGACGCTTCGTGCTCCATACCCGATCATAGGAACTGCGGAGCTTTTTCAACTCCAATTTAAGCTTAACTAGCTTTGCTTCCTCCTTTTCGACCGTACAGATACGGGCCACCACACGGTTACGGTACTCGCCGTAACCTTCCCCCTTCTTTGGGGAAGTTCCCAGGTCCTCAATGGTGGAGAGAACGGGACCGGTACTAGGCCCCTCAGAGGCCTTCCTCCAGCGGGTCCAGGCCCAGGACCCGACATCCTTCCTGGGCTTAGTTGGAGTTATTGAGCCCCCGGCTTTCCGGCCTTCCTGGAGCTCAGCTGAGCTCTCCAGCATACAACCACACCCGACAGGAATGGACTCGCCAATAGTGGTGGGACTCACCTGCCTTGTGGGTTGCAGTACCAGGACTGGCCAGCGGGTGCTCTCAGCAACCAGAGGCTCACTCCTGCAGTCAGCCAAAACACCTGAGGCTGATTGCAGGAGGTGCATATAAGGAATGGCCAGACTTGCAATCAGGGCCTTGGTGTATGTTTCCCAAGAGCCCCTGTACCTGCATCCTGTCTGCTTCCTGTCTGATCCTGCTTGATCCCTGACTCTGATTGAACTCCACCTGTCCTGACCTCTGCTATTCCTGACCACTCTCCAGTCTGCTCCTTTGTACCTTGCCTGCCCGTTTGCTACCGACCCGGCCTGCCCGACTATGCTTAGTATTAGAGATGAGCGAATCGAACTTGGCGAAGTGGAATTTGTTTTGAATATTAGGAAAAATTTGATTCGCGCCGAATCCGAAAATTAGCAGACTTCTGATGCGCGAATCAAAATTTTTCCTTAAATTGCGGCGACATGTGTGGCGACGGAGCGGGGATCTCTGGGAAGGCGCACAGACAAGGCGCGCTGACCCATAATGCATTCATTCATGACATGTGATCGCATTAGCCAATCAGCAGCCAGCCAGGCAGCACTGTGTAATGGTGGAGCTATAAATTGCGGCCATCTTACAATTCTCCATTTGCCTACGGTCATTCAAGAGAGACAGACCTCTCTGTATTAGGGACAGAGTTAGGGCCACAGATACTTTAGGGACACAGAATCGTTACTTAGGGACACAGAATTGTTACTCAGGGACACAGAATTGTTACTCAGGGACACAGAACTGTTACTCAGGGACACAGAATTGTTACTCAGGGACACAGAACTGTTACTCAGGGGGACACAGAACTGTTACTCAGGGACACAGAACTGTTACTCAGGGACAGACACATAATTGTTACTCAGGGACACAGAAACTGTTACTCAGGGACACATAACTGTTACTCAGGGACACAGAACTGTTACTCAGGGACACAGAACTGTTACTCAGGGAC